ATGTGAGGCTGCGCTAGCTCAGCTCACCACCGTCTGTGAAAAGGAGAGATTTCCCCCATCTCAAGGCAGGGAGGAAGCAATGCACATGTTAAATCGACGTGTGCGTGGAGAAATAGAGAATCAAAGTTTCTTCTAGGTGGCTGTGAGGGTTTGCAGCTCTGCCAGGCTGGTACGCAGCCCGCTGTGCGGCTTGGCATCCCCGAGGAGCTGAGAAGCGAGGAGGCAGAGCCTGCAGAGAAACCCTTCTCTAGCGGTGCCATCCGCAGCACTCCTGATGCTGGAGCTCTTCAGGGATGCAGAAGGACCTAAAAGAATTTTAAAAGCTGGTTTTTTTACCTTTCACTGCAGATTTTGAGTGGCTTACAGGCCAAGTGCTTGGATATGTTTTCTGGTTTAATTATTGGTATGTAAGCGTTGCCTTTACATAAGGAGAAACCTGAGAGTGTGAAACTCGCAGGGCAATGACCCTGTCACAGCATATGGGCCAGGTACAATTTCAGCAGCATCCCGTTCACCACCTGGCTGTTCGGATAACCAAGGCACGTTTGCCTGGTGGGTGCTGGGACTCTCAGCACCTCTTGGGAGAGGGTGCTGGGGGGGGCTCGTCCCTGCAGGCAGGGGCACATGGGGCTCCCCAGGGCCAGGCTGGGCTCTGCCAGGCCACAGGAGCATCCAATACCCCTTGACTCTTCGTACCTCCCCTTGACTCCACCAACCCTTGGGGCAGTTGCTTCCCTGCTGCACTATTATTTGAAAATCCAGATTGGTTTGGAGAACATTTGACAATGCAGCAAAATCACCTTCTGCCTTTAAAATAGGGCACAAACCCCACAGTGCCAGGATACGGTCCTCTGCCCGTGTGCTCTGCAGTGCAGGATGGCCTACGCACAGCAAGATGTTTCCTTCTGGAAACTTCTTTTTCTTTCAAGCTGATTTGTCCTGACTGCTGCAGAAGAATAAAAACGGTGGCTAATTTTTCTATGGAAAGTACAAATCCTCTGCAAACCCTCCAGTTCCCATCCTGGTCACCCAGCCCTCAGCTGGGGCAGGCACTGCTGCCGTTGAGTCCCAGCATCTGTATTTTCAGCCCCATCGTGGTGTCTCCCTCATCCCCAGGTGTCCATCCCTTTTTTGTCTTTCTTGCATTTAATTTTTTCCCTCCAGTGCCTGTTCGGAGAGAGGAGGGAGGCTCCAAACTGAGCAGAGTTAAGGTTGCACATCCACCTCTTGATTTCAGCTGTGCCCCATGTCGTGTGGATGTTTGGTTTGGATTTTGTGAAGAGTCTCTAGTTTTAAAAGTCCTGTCCTGGGGTTACTCGTGCGTTTGTCCAGAGAAAAATGTATTTACAAAAGCATCTGATGCATCTGGAGAGAGGTCTGGGCCAAGGTCTGGGATGTATTTCTCAACCCAGACGAACAGTTTGTGAGAACTGGTCGGTCATTGGGGAAATGGAAAGCACCAACAAGTCTGAAAAACACTTCTGAACTCTGGGTAAGTATTTGGGGAAAAAGGCGTCTGGTCCGTCTCACTGCTGTGCCTGGCCTGGAGCTGGAGGGAGGCGGAGCAGCGACGTGGCTTTTATTGGTGCTTGGGTGCAGGCTAAACGCTGGATGAGAAATGTATTTAAGCAGTTAAATTCCTATTTGATGGCATCACAACTATTTGTGTGAGATTTTGTTCTGTGTTGTGTTTATACTGAATATTACGGGCCCAGATTTTGGATCGGTGTTGGGTCCAGCCAGCTCAGAGGCTTCCCGAGCATCGCCAGACTCGGCCCTCCAGCCTCCACGGCTCTGGCTGTCCCCGGACACGGCTGCAGATGTGAGGTTGCAGGGCTTGTTCAGCTCTTTGGGTAGCAATCGCAATTTTCTGTGTTGCACAATGGGGCCAGGAGCAACGATTAAGAAATGCTAAGTCTGGGAAGAAGAGGTCTCACCTGCCCCTTTGCATGGGCCGTTTCGCGTTGAGTCAGTCTCGGAAGCAGATGAAGACATCACGCAGCTTCACAGCTCGCAGTATCCCCAGATAAGCACGTCCGTGCCGCTGCCGCAGCTCCAGCCCTCTGTGCTGGGGAGATGTCCCTGTCCCCGGGCGAGGAGCAGCCCTGACAATGTGGGCTGTGTTCTGCGCGGCCGGGGGCTCGTGGCACTGCCTGTCCCCAGGACCCACCTACACGCACAAGCACGGCGGCAGATTGTTCCTGATGTGCAGCGAGTCGCACCCACATCTGCCCCGAGACAAAGGGGCCCTGGAGCAGCCCGGCATTCGCTCTTCTAAAGCCGGGGATGCGTTTTGTGTGTGCCCTGTCGTGGATTTTATTATTTGCTCTCGGTCGGTGCTGCTCCGCGTGGACGTGTGGTCACCCGTGCCGTACGGGCCGTCCTCCCTGGCCAGTCCACTGGCCCTGGAAGCGCCTGGGTCATTCCCGTGTAGCTCTGCCTACGGTTTCAGTCCAGAGCTGCCGTGTGCCTGTGCCCTTTTCAGCTCAAAAGTTACCTGCAAATTTCTCTCTTCCTGATACGCACAGCTCTTACTTTTCTAGTCCCCGTGCGTGTGATGATGGGTAGGATATACTTGTTTGCATCAGTGCGATGCCTCCTGTGTATACTGTATGTGTTGGTGTTTGGGCTCAGTCCTTTCTGTATTCCCATTTAATGCAAAATCACCCACATATGCATGTATGTACAAATATCTCCCAAGCATCTATGCCAGGAGCCTACTCCTTAGCGTCACGGCCGTTTCTTTCACGCTCACCAGTACCCAGTCTGAAGAAAACAACATATTCTTCGCTTTTCAGGCTCCAAGCAGCACGTAGAGATGTGCGCTATTTAAATCCCTGCTGTCTTGCACCTCCCCTCCCATACGACATCTGTGAATGCAGAGGGGTTTAAAGCATTTTGTGATAGCAATGTGAAGCATCGGTATATGAGCGCAGTAAGGACCCTAGAAATCTTGGCCTTGCTAAATCTCTGGTTGCAGTATTGGCTGATTCAGTTCATAAGTCAGACTTGTGCTTAGTAGCAGAAAGGCATAAACCCAGCTGATCCATTACTCATTTTAAGCTGTAACCGGAGAAATGAACCACTTTAAAAAATGAAGGCTACAGATCAAAATTATTATATCTTCCCTTAGACAGAAAGCTAAAGAAATGATTTGGAAAGCTTTGTTCAGCATGACCTGATCACAGGACTGCGGAAGGCCTGGACATGACTTTAATTACTGGCCCAGTCCTATAATTATTCTGTCCTTCAATTATTTTTATTGCAACAGCTGGATTGGAAAATCCTTAGAACGAGCAGAAAAGATCAAAGCAACACTCCCCTCCAAGCCCCTTCACAACCTACAATCTGTCATCTGGTGTAACTGGGACACGCTGGGACGGCGAGTTCCTTTGGGCTTCAGTCCAAGAGCGGGGACACGGAGACCCCGATCGCACCCAAGCAGCGCAGTGGGGAGGGCTGGATGGAGAGGCCATTAAGCACATCTTGTTCCCCATAAGGGTGATGGGGAAAAGCGTCCTTAAAAGTTGTCTTGCGCTGGCTTTGATCCTATCTGGAGGTCAGGAGAGCTTCCCCGACCATGTGTCAGGGCTGTTTATTTGCCGCGACATCTGCTCCGCGCTGGCTCCCAGCAGCGTTCCCTGCAGTTCCCGGAGCCCCCCGGCAGCCCCGCGCTCGCCGGGTTTTGTCTGTTGTGCTGAGTCCCCCCCTCCCTCCCACAACCGCTTCGTACCGGGCTCGGGAACAGCTGAAGGGGCAGCAGCATCCAAAGCTGCAGCCGGTTATTTATCTTTCATGAAGACGGGCTCTCCTTGCTTGCCAAATGGCCTCTGTGCGGCTCCCCTGCCTGGCGACATCCCGCCCCGGCGAAAGCCTGCGCGAGGGCCAGGCAGGAGCGGTGCGGAGCAAGGCTGGGGATTTTCCACTGTTTGCTGCCCCGGCGTTATTTTTGTTCTTAGCCGAGAGAGCTGTCTGTGCGGCTGATGCCCTTTTTATAACTCTATTACAGAGAGTTGTAACTCAGCCGTGATGCAACCTCTGCCCCACAGCCGCCTTTCTAAGGGGAGTTTTATTGTACAGACGGGATAACTTATCCTCCTTTTCGCTCTTTTTTAATCTGCATTTAGCCTACGGGTTTATTAACAGCAAAATAAAAGGTATGTCTATGGAAAGTGCAGGTGATGACCTGGCAGTCCGCAGGAGGTCTGGCTGGGTGCCTGTGGGAGCCCGGCAGCGGCGTGCTGTGCATCTGGCCCCGGGGACCGTCCGGGGAGGGAGGCAGCTGGAGCCCGATTGGAAAAGGGCTTGTTCAGAGACCGGTTGGGAAAGGTCCCGCCATGCCCCGACTCCTGGTAGGGCTGTGCCGGGCCGGTGCCGGGCTCTGTGGTACACGAGGGGTCTCTGGAGCCGGTCCCTCTGCTATTCACAGGCTGCACATGGCGGCAGAGCTTATCCCAGTGCTCCGCCGGAGGGAGCGGATGTTTGCTATGTGGGTATTTCTTGTGCATAAAATACAATTGTTATTATTTTCTTTTAAACAGCAAATCATCCTTTTCATTTTGTCCTATGGGGGCTGTTCACTGCTTTTGTATCCACTTGCTCTGAGTAACTTTCCATCAGTCCCAGGGGACAGCATGGTCCTTCCATCCAAGAGGCCTCTCCAGGGCTTGAGCACAAATGACCCCGTAAGGCCGATTTTCTGCCAGCAGAGCCACCCAGGGGGTGGGAGGACGGTGACCACGGGCTTGTACCTGGGTCACCAGAGCCTGGAAACTATTTCTGGCACTATTCACACCCCCATCCCTCCGCACAAATATTTTTGGATTGGGAACGCTCTCTCTAGAGTTGCCAAAAGGAAGATGACAGAAACAGAGCTGCAAACGGCTCAGTGACCGCTGGGTTTGTGTTCCTTTTGCAGCTGAGGATCCGCCTGCGCTTGCCGCTGGTCTGCTCGCCTCGGGGGACGCAACTGAGGTCCTAAAGCTGCCCGGGCATCCAAAATGGTCATGCAAAGACACCACCTCACCTGCGCAGGAATAGCATTCGCTCTCTACCTTCATCACCTCGTCAGCACCATCGAAGTCCCTCTGGATTGTAAGTTACGGTTTAGCCCTCTAAAAACTCCCACTGAAATGGTTGAGGAGTGAAGATGTGCGTGGCCCAGGCAGCTTTCCTGGTCCAGCCTAAGGTTTTTTGCTGTTGTTTGTTGTGGAATATTTTTCTTTTTAAACCACATGCCCTCCAGAAAGTCACCTAAATCACTCTCTGACTTAGTCAATCTATCTCAAAAGCTGAGCAGAGGACTCGAAACCACATATCAAAATGGGACAGAGCATCTGAGCCAAGCTGGCGAGGAAATCGGGTCCTGGCAAGTCTTCAGCCTGTTGATTTCAGTGGAGCATCCTGGGACTCCTGGTGTTCCCGCAGAACGCGGGCAGGCTCCGGGATGCTCCTTGGTGGAGGACGTGAGCTCGTTGCTTATCCACTCGGGCAGATGCTGCCACAATCTGACACCCAGGACCCCGAGGGGAGTGGGGACCCGGGCAGGTCCTGCACAGCGATGTGATTTCTCTCTCTCTCTGTTGGGACTTTTCAGTTAATTATGGGATGGGAGATATGTTTTATTCAGAAGAGCTGGGAGATACGGAGGGAGGAGGACGGGGGACATGGGCTGATGTTTCTGCTGAATGGGTATCTTCAGGCCAGCGCATGGGAAATGCATGACTTGTTTGAATGTGCTGGAGACAGGGGTTCGTGCTGAGAGCTGCTCAGCCACTGTTCTGGAAACCAGCTTCATCATTTCTTTGTGTCCCAGCTTACTCCTGTAGCGGCTGTTAATAATAATCAGCCTGTCGCTGCAGGGAATCTCGTCCAACAGTGCAATGCACAGAAATCCTCCAGCGAGCGGTGCATTAGTAGAAAAAGCACAGCTTTTTGCTGGGGTCTGAAAATTCAGGCTGCAGTGCCAGGGTTGCTCTTCATAGGAGAAATTTGTACCCTGTGGGTTGTTGCTCTTTGGAGTCCCGAGTGTGCTGGCTGTGGCTGTGCTGCCTCGGCTGATCCCTGACTCTGGGCAGCAAAATGGGAAGGAAACATTTGAGGCAGCGGCTTTTGGCTGTAATTTGGAAATAACGGAAGAGAAAGGATGAGAAAGCTCTGATTTGCAGAGCGGAATAAATACTTAAGTTACTTGAAAAGGAGAGGGTCCTAGACTCGAGTTTGAGTCCCTGCTCAGCTCCATTCCAGATGATTGTGGATGAAAATATCTGTTCCCCTGGCGTCAGCGCTGTAACATGCACAGGGCGCTCGTGTTCCCAGAAATGAGAATTTTATTTGATGCACAAAGCTCGGTGATTCCTTCAGGCCTGGATTTGTTAGCATCTGTAATATTCCAGAAATGCAGGGAGCCAGCATGGCCACTGCAGCTGGGGAAAACTGAATGGGTCTGCAAACAGCTGCCCTCTGCCATTTCTTGTGCTTTGCATCAGGAAAGGAGTAATTTTGGTACTTAAATGCAACGTGACCTTAGAAAAGTAAGAGAAATGCTGACAGCTGGTGGAGAAATGCTCAAGGCAGCCTGCAGCAGCTCACCATTTCCCAGCAGCTCACCGTTTCTCGAGCCTCCTCCTCCTCCTCCCTGCTGCACAGCACTGGGCCGCAGGAGAGCATCGTCCCCTCCAGTTCTAGTGGGAAACTGGGATCGTAACGAAGAGCTGCCTTTTGTCACCCTGTCCTGACCGGATCCCTTGCGTGACAGATATTTGTAAATAACGTGCACGGGGGCTGTTGTGCAGAGCAGTGCCAAGGGCAGGCGGGTGAGGAGCATCTCCCAGCCCCGGGCGAGGGCCAGGGATCCCGCCGACGCCTGTCCCCACCAGCCGACGCTTCCCAGCCACCCTTAGCTCTTTTGGACACACGGAACCTCAGCTTTGTTTTACTTCTATCCTGACCTTCAGAGCCATCAGGGGTTTGCTTTCAGCTCCTCTTTAGGCCACCTGGTGATCGGGGCTCCCTTACCCACTGCTCGTCTGCGAGACTGAGCTAATGAAAGCATCGCCTGCGCTCGAACGGCTGCAGGTCTGCCCAGGAGGTGTGTAAAAATCCCCAGCCGCTCCGGCTTTGTGCAGGGGCTGATAAACCTGCAAAGCTCAGGCTCTGTGAGTGCACGAGCTCTATCCCCCACGTACCACCAGCTGCGGAAGCCCTCCCTGCTCCGCCGAGATCAGCTCCTTCGTCCAGGTGCCGGGGTGTGGGCTCTGCCCCGTCCCCATGGCAGGAGGGGGCTGGGAAGCCCCCCGCCATCCCCGGGGCATCGAGGTGCTGGTGGGCACCCGGCTGCCCTTGCGGACCCACTCCGGAGTGGGAGATCTCCCCAGGGAGGCGTTTTGCTCCCCGGACCTTATGTTTTAAGGACAGAAGCAGCTCGGGAGAGGGCAGATGCGTGGGCAAAGCCTCAGGGTCCCCTCAGGGCAGAGGGAACGGCCCTCGCTCACCCTGTGTCAGGGGCAGCTGCACTATTTGCTCTTTCTTTTAAGCTTGCCTAGGTGGTTTTTTCCCTGCCTCAACCCTTACAAGTTTTCTTCTTTGGATAAAATCTTGCCTGCCCCTGTCCGGGGGACGGGATATGTATATCTCTCTATATTACAGGCACCTTCTCTGAGTTTGCCTATCACCTAAAAAGCCAGCGAAGGGTTTATCAGGCCTCTGGCACAGGGGGATGAAACTGGGGGGGCTCAGGGTAAGCCCAGCCATAGGGAAGGGGGGAATGTCGCTAACTCCTGCGGGCGACCCGCTGGACCACGGGGCCGCCAATGCACGTGTGCCTGTGCCGCCGTTTGGCCCCCCAAACCCTGCTGCAGAGGCAGCCGACCACTAACAGGGCCGCTCAGCAGCAGCTTCTCCCACGTGGACACATAGGTAGGTAGATTAGAAGGTGCTTGAATTGTAAAATGATTTGTGTGTAATATTTGTAAGCCCTGCAATAACTATACACGTTTATGATTTCTTGCATGACGTATATAGGTTTGTTCTTCAATTAACCTTTTTTCTTTTTTTCATTATGCTTGCACTTTGGGAATAACAGCAAATATTCAGAGTGAATGTAAGTGTTCCCCTCTCCCTCTGTGCGTACGTGTCCCTCTCCTCTGCATGGCTGAAACAGGGCCCGAGGGGTCCGTACCGAGCAGGGGGCCGGTGGCGGTTGTTGCTGGGCACTGGTGTACATGGGTGCATTGCCCGCTCCTGTGGCAGGGGGGGGCCGGGGCAGGGCGGGGCCC